GGCAGGAGAGGGCAGGAGAGGGCAGGAGATGGCAGGAGATGGCAGGAGAGGGCAGGAGATGACAGGAGATGGCAGGACAAGGCAGGACAAGGCAGGCTGTGTGTGAGGGGAGCTGTGCAGCCCCAGCCCAGCCCCAGCCCAGCCCTCACCTGGCGCACGATGTTCTGCACCAGCTTGTCCATGGTGAAGCCGATGTAGGCGTGGATGGTGAACATCTCTCGCAGGGTGTCCTCGTACTGCGTGGGGTCRATGTTGCCATCCAGCAGGCTCCTCACCATGTCCAGGAAGGCTGGGTAGTACTCCTCCAGCTCCACCTCACCTGGCCAGGGGCAAAGTGAAAAGTTAAACTTTTCTCGTTTAACTCATAGAAAAGGCAGAGTGAAGTMAAGCAATGCAGGAGGCAGCAGAGCTCRAGRACCATGAAATTCAGTGGGGGGAATRACWTTACAGCMRGCAGTTCCCTGCCAGGTGCCCTGACAGGCTGGGACAGTTTCCCTCACGCTTCTCCAGGACTGCCCTGAGCAGTAATTATTTCTTTGTGGGCCCTGTTTACATTGTAAATCAAAGTAACGGTTCCTGCAATGAGAYACAATGAGAACACCCAGCACAGTGAGCTCACAGGAAGTCTCTGTGACCCACACCCGAGAGCCCAGCACACACTGACAGCCCTGCTAAAGGAGCTGTGTCCACRAATCACAAACACACCAAGGATTCCAGACCTGCCTGCTGGTCCCAGTTATCCAGATACACACAGAGGAGCACTGGCAATCAGGGCATTAAGAACAGACTAAGCCCTGCATTATTCTTACTTGGTTGCTTCAGTCTGAGCTCCATGGCCGGATCATTGGTTTTTTCTTTCCTCCCTTCACAGAGGAGCTTCTCTCGCTCTTTTTCAGTCCGATATTCCAGCAGCTGCTTCTGGGCTTGGCGATAAATCTTGAGGAGCCTGGAGCACAGAGTCTGGTGAAGGCGCAGGAAGAAATACCAATTGTTATTGACAAAGAAGAGGCTGTAAACATCATCCAGGGTGTTGTGGGGCTCAGCAGCTGTGACATCACAGAAGGTTGCTTTGGTCTCCAAAGGACTGCTCGGAGGCCCAGGCACGTGTTTTTTCCGCAGCTCGGGAGTATCCAGGTTCTGCCCCTGGTGGTTTTCTCTGTCCTCATCTGTTGATTCCTCAGAAATGTTGTGCTCGGGTGGCTGAGAGAAGAACAGCTCAGGTATGAAGTGATGCACAATCTGCCTGATGGTTGCCTGATCCTCCTTTTGGATGGTTGGCTGCCTCTTCACGTAATARCTGATAAGAGAGGCTGCGTCTTCCAAAATCTGCTTATCTTCGTAGATGAAGATAAGGTGAGGCTCGTTTGTGGATGAACTCCTCCCCTCCGAATGCTGCTCCTGATGCTGTAATCAAGAGACAAACAGCTTGATTTATAAAATACCTATGCAACCAGAATTATAATATTTTAATACTTATATAACCTGAATCATAACTTTCTATACCATGTAATAGCTAAATGTAGCTAACTCGTTGCTTAATGCTTAAGTAAGCAAAAATTCGCCAGGTGGACAACCTCAAAAAATAAATAAATGTAGCTAATTGGGAAACAGTAAGATGTACTAATGAAAAGTCATCATAAAATGTAAAGTCAATTAGCCACAAGGTGGAGAATTTAAGACTGGTTAGATCCAGAAAGCCCAAAGAAAACCAAAACTGCACATGCCCCGAAGGAAAAGTTAAAAAGTTCAGATGCAAGGAAGACCTTGAGCCTTCATTGAAGAAGACCTCCAGGGCCACCTAAATTAGGGAGGCACAGGTGCAGTACAAAAAAATTATTTATAACCATGAGGTAATCCTATGTAAATTAGTTCTGGACATATACTAATGTCTGTGTTATGGTGATGTCATGCTGACAGCAATATTAAACAACACTTTTTGTATAAATAAATCACAACACTTGACAAAGATGGGTGAGTTGGGTTGAGAAATCTCCCTCACCTCCAGCACTACAATAAACAAACACCTGTCCCATAAACACTGGTCTATGGGGTTTTATTTATAGTCAGTCTTTCCCAGCTTCCATTCCCTGCCATACCCACCTCATCATAAACACTCTCAATTTCATTCAGCAAGCTCTTGGAGCGCAGAGCTTTGGTGTCATTCTGCTTGAAGTTGACAGCCTGGTGGTCCAGGGATTTCAAATAGGCCTTCTCATACTGCTCCCTCCAAATCTTGTTGAAGCCCTGCTGAGCCTCCCTCCATTCCTCCTCTTTTGCTTTCAATCTGTGTAAATGAACAGCCTACTTCAGTTCAGAGAGACAGGCACAGAAACACATCCAAAACATTTTAATGTAGCCAACTGTGGTGCAGCAAGAAGCTTTCAGTGGAAAACTGGAATTTATTSCTTGAAGCAATAAAGAAATTTGAGAAAGCACCACCAGTGATGACAACTTACCCTTTGAAACAACACCTACAGAAAATAGAATCACAGAATCATTCTGATTGGAAAAGACCTTTGAGATCACTGAGTCCAACCTTTGACCAATTACTGCCTTGTCAAGTAGATCAGAGCACAGAGTACACAGCCAGTTGGTTTTTGAACATCTCCAGGGATGGTGACTCTGCCTACTGTTTAACAATCCTTTCTGTGAASAAATTCCCCCTAATGTCCAATGAGAACTGAGGCACAGCCTGAGGTTATGTCCTCTCATCCTACAGTTTAAAAACGCTTTAAAAACCCTTTTCCAGCTTCTTAAAAAACACAGCACAACAGGAATTACCTCTTAAGCACCACGGGGACAGCAGTAACYGGGTTTTTCTTCAGACTCTCGATGATCTCTGGTGCTTTGTCACCGTAGATGCGATAGATGGCCCKGCGCTGGATCACCTCTGATGTCCCTCCCAAACAATCATCCAGGCGAAATTTCTCCTGATCYTCCTGGGTCAGGCGGGACAGTTTCTTCTGCACACTCTCCAGCACACGGATTGTGGCTAAATTGGTCTCCAGGACAACRTCCAGCTGTTGAGAGTTCACAGGAAACGCGGTGTCAGAGCAGGAATACAGAGAGCAGCAGCAGCTCAGGTTTGTGGAAGGGGTTCCAGCCCCATGGGGTGGAGTCAGGAAGCATCAGCAAGGTTTTTACTGGAAAACAGACCTTCACCMAAAGGTCACATGTAATTAAGAGCTGGACTTGTGCCTAGGAAGAGCTATTAGACTCTAAGCACAATGCACCAAACTCCATCTCAAACCAACAACCACCAACAGAACAATTAATTCAGTGAAAAGCAGGGATTTTGCTTTCTGAGGAAGCAGAGAGGGAGCTCAGCACTGGGGTACCTCGAAGCGCTCGTCCTCGCAGCGGTGCAGCTGCTCCTCATACGGGGTCTTCTTGGAGCTGACAAAAGTGGAGTCTTCAGACCAGGATGGAAATGAAACCCAGGTATCATTTAAAACCTGCAACAGYRCACAGACATGACATTGAGCAGGGCMTTGTGAGYCCAGAGCTGTTCTCATGGGGTTTTCTCTYTTTYCTTTTTGCCCTGAGTTTTTGCTGGACRTTCCAGACCTAATTCCCAGGTCACTGCTCCCTAGATTTGAGGTCTGTGTGGAACCCTGCTCAGAAAACTCAAATGTACCTTCACTACCACCTCACACACAGATCACTCTGCAGTGATCAGCAGCTCTAAATAAAAGAGACAGAATTCCCCAAAACAGTGGGAATGGTGCCTCAGGGACTCACAGGGCTGAGGTGCTTCACAGGGCTTTTCCAGAGAAAAATTGTTCCTAAAGGCTATATATATGCTAGAAAAAATTAATTCCAGGGTATTTAATATTCTTTTCTGTCTATAGGAATAAATTTCTATCTCCAAAGACTCAAAAGGTATTAAAGATGTGATTTGAGAAAAGTTTAGATAAAATTAATAAAATGTGGGTATTATTTCAATAAATTGGCTGAGTAAAGTGAATCAGCAAGAAGAGGGCACTCCACATGCAATGGTACAAACACAGCCCCACTCCAATTGATGTTCAGGGATTGAAGAGCCTGACCCTGATGCTTGAAAAGGCTTAGAAATAAAACCCTA